TGATCAAAGCAACCTCCTAGATGTAAATATCTATGGAAGTGAGACTAAGAATAACTTTCATGTCTCTGGTTGATTTTCATGAGTTTTTTCAATTTGCAGATAGATGTCACTTTTAAACCCTCGGTCAGAGATAAGAGCAGAGATTAGGGACATAAAGATAGGAAACGCTCATAAGAAGCCAATGCTAAACAACGACAAGCTTTAACGCAGTTAACATCTGATGCACTATGTGGCGCTAACATCGATATCAAATAACGCAGCGGGAAATTTAAAAACCTGATAAAAAAGGTTGTATGAATAAATAAATTTAAACAATTTAATTACGCTAAATTATTTATTAAAAAGAATACTACACTTACAGTCTATTATTATCGATTAGTTATTCTAAATCTATTCATGATAAATATTTTTTCTAATTTTTGATCGTTATTTGTAACATTACATTTTTGTTCTAATTTTTCAAACGAATGGCCAATGGTGTCTTGTTTAAAAATGTTGAGTGCAAACATAATACTGGGAATTCAGATATTTTTCTTCCTATACCAAATCTTTTTTCTAACGTTTTAAAGCCATTTTTTTGTTCTAAAACAATAAATAATAAATAAATACCTATTTTGTGACAAAGGTTGGTTACTATTTGTGTTACTTACATGACTAGATCTTACTTTGGTTAATTAAAGAACGCCACATTGGGGTTGTTAAATTTATTCATGTGGCTTGTGTTACTAATCCAATACGTTCTTCGACTTATTGTAGTATAAGAAAATATAATTATTGTCCTCAAATATCACGCAAAAATAGCCACAACCATTTCGATTAGTTCATCTAGAGGATAACACAATCATTAACTCAAAATTTAAATTTAGGATTCTTCCATATACATAAAACTAACTGACATTTATATTTACAAACTCTCCACTGCTGTTCACGTTTACTGTCTGTCTTAGTGTTGCCAACCGTACGATTTATATGATTTTTTAACTCTTTGTACGATTGCATCAGTGAGATCGTACGTAAAAATATGATCTTCCCTTTTTTAGTAGGTTTACTCACTTCAGAACATAAAACAATAAAAATCAAAAACTACTTGCAAAGATTCATAGGTCGTTTGTAATTTCTGAAGGCAATCATTTTTGTTTTCACTTATCGTGATTTTTACCATGGTTATTTTGTACCAACACCGACTATCACGGCATAACAAAAGGTTTTTGCATAATTTTAATAACTTTTAAATGACGGTCATTGATTACTTTAAATGTGTTAATTTAAAGTTTCATGAATATTATTTAGTTTTTTTTTCGTTGTAAACATTTTTATAAATAGATAAATAAATTATCGTGCTAAAGTTTTTTTTATTTTTTCATTCCATTTAAGTTATATTATGCTATTGTACGATTTTTTGTCGAAATACCATTTTTCTACTCTACTTGTACGATCTCTCGAAACAAATATTTGGCAACACTGGTCTATCTACAAACGACGTATATTTTCAGTTAAAATCTGAGACGCATAGATGACGCCATCGTTGTTGCGGTCGTTGCGATTCCTACCTTTATGTCCCTAATATCTGCTCTCGGTGTAGCGCTTAGACTAGGTAATAAACCTAGTCTAAGGTGTAGCTGCATTGTTTATGAGCAGTTTATGTTTTCTTAACTGTCAGTTCCATGTTCACTTACTGTCAAAGGTGAGACCTAGGTTATTTACCTCTTTTGCAAAGTTTAGATTTATGTTTAGAAGCTCTGGGGTTTTAGCTCCATTTTAATTATTTTTCTTGTGAACAGAACCGTTTCTGTCTGTTGGGATTGACGACAGTAAATGGTCTTTGCATCACTGTTCAGAGCTACTTGCATTATTTCGCAGAGTATATTCTTAAAAGTATCTGGTTGCAGAATGAGATCATCTGCATACGCTGTTCTGTAAAGACTGTCATTATTGAGGGGGCTGGTGAGGGTGTCAAGTACCATGTTACACAGCAAAGGCCCTCTTTATGGGTATTCTCTCGCACCTAAGTCCTTTATATTTACTAACAGTGATATTTAGTAAACAATGAGACATCGTATTCTGATCACTCTAGTAAAAGGGAATAGTAGCACTGTCTTTACAATTTTTTTTTGCATTTAATAAAACTGGACTAGTTGGCTCAGTTATAACATTGCCGTAAACGTCTAGCAAATTTAGGGTAGAATGAGGTACTTAAATATCTTCGTTTAAGTCACCTTACGAGTAATCTGATTTAAAAACCAAAAGATGAATTATTGTATTTTTAAAAAGGTTAGAGAGTTCAGTGAAACTTGCCAAAAAGCTAAAAAAAAAATAGGCAATAACCTCACAATGGATATGGGATTTTACTAGTCTGCCTCCTATTCTGTTTGATTTATCTTCTTTATATAAGTTGTATCCTGGCAGAAATATCATGCTTAAATCAACGTCATCATTCAACCACGTCTCAGTAATAAACATTATAAAACATTGATCTTGTATAAAATAGAAACAACAGTAACATTTGGAAAAATTGAAAATATATATTGTGCATTATTATACTCTTCACACAGTAGTATGTGAAGTGTATTATGAATTTGCTTCGTTTATCCGTCCGATGTCACATTTTTTGCCCGCACGATAAGTTAAAAAAGGAAAAGATATCAATTTAAAAATTTTAGGAAAATTAAGCTCTATAAGGGAACGAAGCTTATGGATTTTAAATGAATAAAAATGAATAAAAATAGAGGATTAAGGGGGTTGAAACATAAAAAAATTCTTAACTCAAAACCGAAAAATGATATCAACTTCAAATTTTTAGCAAAAATCATGCTCTATAAGAGGAAAAAGCCCCTTAATTTAAAAAAAAAATCTGTTTAAAAATGTGGGGGATAAGAGGGGTTAAAATAAAACAAAATCATAAATCAAAAACGAAAATCGTTATAAACATGAAATTTTTAATAAGAATCAAGCTCCATAACAAGAGAATAAAGCCTACTGATTCTGAAAAAAATCTAATTTAAAATGGGGGGTAGAGGGGATTGAAATACTGAAAAAAAATCTTAACCCAAAACTAAAAAATGATATCAACTTGAAATTTTTAGCAAAAATCAAGCTCTATAATGGGAAGAAGCCCTTTGATTAAAAAAAAAAAAATCCTAATAAAAATGTGAGGCTAAGGAGGGTTAAAATTTAAAAAAAAATCATAAATCAAAAACGATAAACGATACCAACATGAAATTTTTAGAAAAATCAAGATTTATAAGATTGATTCAAAAAAAATCTTAGTTAAAATGGGGGTTGAAAGGGGTTAAAATATTTAAAAAAGTTCTAACTCAAAAACGAAAAATAATATTAACTTGAAATTTTTAGCAAAAATTAAGCTCTGCAAGGGGAAAAATCCTTTTAAATTTGAAAAAATAATTATAATAAAAATCGGGGGTTTAAGTGGGGTTTAAATTTAAAAAAAAAATCATAACTCAAAAACGAAAAATATTATAAACTTAAAATTTTTAGCAAAATTAAGCGCTATATGGGTAAAAAACAATTGATTTTAAAAATTGGTGAATAAAATAGGGGGGTTAAGGGGGTCGGGTTAAAATAAAAATATAAATCGAACACCAAAAACGATATCAACATGAAATTTTTAGCTCTATACGGTGTCTATCGATTTTAAAAAAAGTCTGAATAAAAATGGAGGTTTAAAGGGGTTTAAATTAAAAGACAATCGTAAATCAAAAACATAAAATTTTTAGTAAAAAACAAGCTCTATAAGAAGATGAAACCTATTGATTCTAAAAAAAACTAAAATAAAATGGGGGTTGAGGGGGGTTGAAATATTAAAAAAAAAAATCTTAACTAAAAAACGAAAAAACAAGGTAGACAAGAGGGTTGAAATATTAAGAAAATCCTAACTCAGTAACGAAAAATTATATTAACTTGAAATTTTTATCAAAAAACATACTTTATAAGAAGAAAAGATTAAAAATGGAGGATTTAGGGGGGGTTAAAATTTAAAAATCATAAATCAAAAATAAAAAGCGATATTTACATGGTATAATAATTAAAAATCAATATCTAATAGGAAACGAAGCTTATTGATTAAAAAAAAATCCAAGTAAAAATAGGAACATAAGGGGGCTTGAAATATTGAAAAAAATCATAACGCAGTAACAAAAAATCAAGCTATATAAGGGGCTAAGGCTTTTTGATTCTGAAAAAATATTGATTGAAAATAAGGGGTTAAGAGTGGTTAAAATATTTAAAAAAAATTACTAAAAAACAAAAAATAATATCAATTTAAAATATTTAGCAAAAATCAAGCCCTAGAATCGAAAAATTTCTTTTAAATATGAAAACAAAATCTAATAAAAATCAGGGATTTAAGGGGAGTTAAGAAATAAAAAAATATAGAAATCAAACACCAAAAACTATATCAACATGAAATTTTTAGTTAAAAACAAGCTTTGTAAGGGAATAAAGAAAATTTGAATCAAAATTGGGCGATAAGGAGGAACGAAATATTAAAAAAATACTAACTTAGAAATCTTTAGAAAAAGGGACTGAAGCGTATTGATTCTAATATTTTTTGAACTGTTTAACTGTGAAGAGTATAATATAGAATGCCAAGCATTATATATATTTATTCTAGTTTTTTCTTCTATTTGCTATAAAAAAACAAAAAATAAACACACCCAAATTTAATTTTAAGATAATTTTGAGTAAATTATTTTACCCTTGAGTAGCTGTTTGAAATATTCAAGGGTTTTACATTTTAAATTACTAGCCTCATGATCAACAGGATATTATTTAGTTTGTACAGTATTGTAAATATTTACTTTATACAACTAATCTAACGTCTATCACATTTATCCCTTTAATGCCTAGGTTTATTAATTTTCACGAAAGTTATGCGGTCAACGTCAAAAACAGTACAAAATTGTAAAAATTAATAGAAAGTATATTGAATTTAAAATTGATTTTATTTATTTATTGATAATTATTATTTTGTTATACATAATTTAATGCAACTTCGTGATAATAAACTCTTCGTCGTTTAAAATTGTATAGTTTTCTTGATATTTCATTGGTCCTACTTCCAAAACATGTCTAAACAATTTATCGTACACCGGTGGTATATTTTGTATTTTTGCTGTGTCTGATAAGTCATCATAATACTCTTTCTTGATTTTTAACAAAGACCCGCCCTCATCCTTTCTATGTTTTTCGTAGTTTATAGCGTCCTCTATCATTGTTTCTTTTGAAGCTGTAAACTGACCTTTTAAATAGGCAATAAAAAATCTCATCTGAAATAAAAAAAAATAGAAACATTAGATAATCTCTGATTAATTTATTAAAGTGTTATATTTATAAAAATGTAAAATAATGAAGTCATTTTCAGAAAACAATTTTACTTAAAAATCAAATGTATACATCCATAATTAGTGTGGAAATATTCCACACGGTTAGTCCACACTGTTTAGTGCATCGAATAAATTGTCGTATAACCTTTAGTACGAATGGAAAAACAACAATATTTTTAGTTATTATAATTTGATAATTATAATTTGATCCATCATAAACAAAAAAATAATTAACTGAAGGATGTATATTGTAAATTATTATATATACAAAATGAACGACATGTCGTGTATATCAAAAAGACGAAATCGGAATAATAATAATAAATATTTGATTCTTAGCAACGATGTCATGAGCTCCGTCATTTGTCTTTATAAAATTGCAATGCAAGAAAAGTTTATCAAGGGTATAGAGATACAGTTGAAGATAGACAATCGAATTAAACAGGGTGGGTCTTTAAAAACTTACAAGGGCTATGTTTTTTATGATATGTTTTTATTAAAGACAAATATCGAAAAAATAAGTGGAATCAAATTGACATATTTTTTAAACTACCCCACCACCCTCTTAAATTACAATATTCCTCTTTGGAAAGCGTATTAAACATCCTTTTCATTGGTCATATAAAAATGCAGGGTTAACTCCATAACTAACTTAAAATTTAACAAACCTTTTATTTAACCATAACAAATTAAACAAAAAAAAAATTACAAAAATTTTAAAATGAGACGTTTTTTAAATTCTTGTCTAACATTTTGGAAAATTTCTCTTGGAATGTTTTATCAAATTAAACTGGCTGAGTTTTATACACTTAAGATTTAATGTAAACCAAAAGAAAAAAAGTTCATTGAAGTTTGATCGGAATACCTTGGTGGCCACTTAACTGCACCCCTTCTACCAATCCAATGTCGTGTATAAAATCTAACCAGCCACTGTCATTGAGACAAAGTCCTAATCGACGTTTAAAATTGTACAGCCATACTAGGACCCCTTTCGAAAAATGCGTCCCTGTGGCAGGCATGTCGATTCTAGCTTTTGCTTTATCGCTGTTGGCTTTCAGACGTTACCGAGCGAAACCGTAAACCTTTGTTCTGCCATTGCATACATTATACTTTTTGCACCAATATTCTACATCTTATGGGCAATTGACCCAATAAAATCTTTCCAGAAGTCGTGCCAGTGTCCTTTTACTACCAAACGGCTGCTAGGCTCCTCCTACACACCTCTGACATGTGATTTTGGCAGTATCAAAAGAAGAACTATATGTACTCCTCTCTCACTTCCGGTGTAATAGGCAATTGTGAAGGTACAGAGAATTCCATTGAGTCCAGTACGATTTAGTGGCTTCACTGTATTTGGCTATCTCTTGCCAAGTAAGTGTAACTCTATTTTTGGATTGTCAGACAACCTTCAAATCATTGTCTTTCTTTTGTCCCTTTATCAGTCTTCGTCGCCCACTGGCTTGATAGTGGTTGCCCAAAGAGTATCTTTATCTATCAGTTCCTCTCGTTCTTCGAGCCGGAGAGAATGTCTGCGTTGCTATGGAGACGGCCTCTTTGATGCTCTTCTTCCTGGTTATTGCTATAAAGCCAGTGAGGTATGGGTGATTGGCTTCTCTAAGACGCATATCTGCTGTATATTTTGTAGGACTTCGTGACGGGCTTCGGCAGATAGATTTATGTGACTTTATGGCCTAATTTCCTAATTCTCAATTCATAAAACGAGACCTGCTTCTACCAGATTTTTTAAAGGTACCCGATTTATCCACAATTGAAGCATCTCTTGCTTTTTGAATATTTTGCAGGATATTTACGATTTGTGAGAGGCTAGGTTGAATAATAGTATAAGTATTGGCCTCTTCACTTTCCTGAAATCTAATTTCTCTCGCTTTTGCACGAGAAGATCTGGATAGGACTTTAACTGCTTTATATCCCTGGGCTCCAAACAGTTTCTCCCTCAGCGGCCTGTGATGTTATAGCCGAAGGGCTTGCTGAATTTCCGTATCTTGTAGTCCATCAATGAATGCCTACGGATAGGCCAGGTAAATCAATCTTTTTATATCGGCCTCGAATTCCTGTAGACTCTTACTAAGTTTCTGACAACGAACCTTTATCTGGCTTTGGAATACCCGTTTCAAATGCTGCTGGTCATACCTTGTCTCCGATGCTTGAGCGAAAGACGAATAACTAGGTTTCCCTTGAGGGAGTAGCTGTAAAACGGTTGCTATCTGTCCCCGAAGCGAGACTATCAATGAAGCCACCATCTATTTTTTAGCTTAGCCATAGGCTCCAGCTGCAGCTTCAGTTGAAGTCGATACGTTTCCCATATTGTCTAACCGTTAAAAGAGGGTGGCTTAATGGTCTTGCTAGTATGGTTCTGCGAAACTATGTTTTGAATATGGCTTGGTCCGGTTATAGATGAGGACGAGGTAGTGTTTTCAGTTTTTCTGTTGCTTACCGAAGCTAGGCTATGAATTTTTCTTTCTATCTCAACTAGTTCAGATCTAATTTTCCTTCCCAACCTTACTTTAGCCGGTTCTTGTTGTTTTAAATTAGGTTCTAAATTCTCTTGTTGTTGTGCTAATAGATCTTATTTGATTGTTAAGCTGACCTAAAATTTGTAGCAAGCTGTTCATAATATCCACCTCAGCTTTCCTACGCCTTTCTTCTCCTTTTCCTCGTCCTACCGGTGCCTTTCCTTCACTTCTTCTCGCCTTTCCCTTTCCTCCTCTTCCTCCTGTCTGCTCATTTCTTTTTCCACTTCTCGCCTTTACTTTTTCTTCTCTTCTTCCTTCCTGCGCCTTTCCTTCTCCTCTTCCATCTTCTTCAAAAATCATGCTGGGAGACCAACAGTATCCATGTCTGTTTCATAATCAGTGGATCTAGTATTTACCATGAACCTTTATTATGGATTCCACCGCTGTCACCAATGGTACACTGGTTTTTGGAAACCCAATTTACTTCTACTTAACTTTTACAATCAACTGATAACACGAATGTATAACGTCTATCATGAAACTAAAAATCTGACGTTAGAATCATCAAAAATATATTTAAAAAAAAAATAGAAAAAACCTAACTATCCTACCAAACCTGTGCGACCTGAAGCCATCGCTGGTTACTTTGCAAAAAAACTATTCTTAAAATAAGAAAAATTACAAAACTTAACTACCCTGTGCGTGAGCGATCGCACACATTTAAATGGCTCCAGAACGCACAGGCTAGGTAAATTATTTAAAGTTTTTTTTTAATTAACTCATTATATGTTATTTTTTGCTAGACAACCTCCAGTTCCTACTTACAGGTTGAGTAAATTAGTAAAATGGTAAAATCACCGCTGCTTTAATCAGGTCCTGGTATTCTAAGTGTGTTGAGTCGATTAAAAGCACATGTTTAAAGGTAATCTTTGGTTAAACTCTAGACAGATGTAATATTCTTTACTGGCGATGCGTTCAAAAATAATAATACAAAGATATTTTTAATTTTTTTAAATAGATATTACATAATTAATTTCGTGGTCAAAACATAACTATTAGATAGGGTATATTCGACCAACAACGCTCTAGTTCAGAGAGATCTCGTCAATTGATTAATTTTAATATAGAAACTTGGACCCTTAAAGGTCTTAGTTACCGAAATATAGGGTATTAAATCTTTTAAATCAACATTTATAATTTGGCATAAATCAAAAACGCCTTTAAATATTAATTTTAAATTTGGTGAGCAATATGCTCTTTAATAAAGTAGTATTCTGACATAAACTTACTGTTAAAAATTTACCCCTTATTTTTGACGCCACTGGAAAGAAAATTATTTCTTATTTTATATTATATTTTTTTTTAAATTCTCTGTTTATTTTTGGTAAATAAAAAGTGAACCTATTGGTGGAGCTAAAATGAACAATGTTGCAAAAATTTGCTTCTAAACAAAAGTCTACATGTTCTTAATCACTTGTGAGGACTCAATATTTTTAAATTCTAACGTAGTAAGCACAAGTCAAATTTTTTATAGTTTGTGTTTTTGACAAGATTTTGGTAGAACAAAGGACCACGCACTTTTCTTATGCAAACGGGAGTACCGTCAAATGTCTGAAATTTTATGTGTTAAATTACTTGATATCCCCATTAAAAGTGTCCATGGGCCCAATCGTATCCTATGACTAGATTTTGAGAGACAGGGTGTTGAAGTTAGAAATCCCTAATTCTTTAAAATGAACACTATAAAACACCCTTAAATATATTTGGAAGTTATTTGCTCATTCTGTATAGTCAAAATACATACCTAACTACTTTAATTAAAATATTGTCCCTTACAGGGTGATTAATGATTTGGCAGATCTTTTTTGGTCAAAGTAGGTATTTCCACCGAACAAAAATAGCTGAAATACTGAAAAAAAAATATATATATATATCACCGTCAAAGTTTCTCAATATTTGATATCGTATAGTACTCGATGTACTCGTTCAAAATTCTAATTGGTAAAATTACATACTATGACTAGTTTTCCAAATATAACCTAATATGTACCAAATATATGAATTTTAAACAAAAACAAATATACTGACATAAGCAGATATGTTTCAGATATATACTGTATATTAGATAATTTGACACACTGTGTTGGATTAGAAATATACCCCTTGTACTATTTGAGAGCAGCCAAAATTATTTCCTAGTAACAGGGTGATTGTCGTTGAATATGTAAGGTGAAAAATCAACAAAATGTTGAAATTGTTGGCAAAAAATAGAAAATAATTGCCTTTTAACTTGGGAGTTGTTTATCAATAAAATCTTATTAGTTCATTTTACAGAGTCATACATTATTTCATTACAAAAAAAGTTCGTTATACGGTAGGTCTAAGTAGGATTTAGGAAAATGAATAATGATCGGATTACATGTTCATTTTGACTGGAGCATTGGCTCTTTATATTGCCTCTTTATGTATATTTATATCAGATTGGGAACTCATCTGACAATCCAAGTCAAGGACAGCAAGTAAATCTTTTTGAGCAATGTTTCTTAAGTTACCATATTGTTTTATTGGTTCACAAAATTCATATAATACTTGGAAATTCTGTTTAGAAATTGAAGTTAAATATTTAAATTCTTCTAAACTAAAAGAATTTTTGTCTTTCCAATTTTTAAATTATTATTAGCAGTAGCAGCCGCTCTTAAATTAACGAGGAAGAATAGTCTATAAACAAAACGCAAACTAGCATGTAAATTAATCATTAGTAAACTTGAAGATTTAGATCAGTGTACTCAACCTTTTTTCTTTCGGGCCACATAAATCTGTTTGTTATGTTACACGAGCCACAATATTTTTGGGTGATAACTAAAGTTACCACCTTTTTGAAATGTAAAAAAAGGACAATGGGTGAAGATAGGGATCCGTTTTAAATATTTAAAAAAAAAAAAAATCCTCATGTTGTTTTAATACAGGACTGTTGCTCAACCATTTCAGTTACTAATAATCGTGTTTGGGGCTGCACAAAAAACCTTGGAGGGCCGCACACAACAGCTTGAACGCTGATATATATTTTTTTTTTCGGAATTTCAGCTATTTTTGTTCGGTGAAAATACCTACTTTGAACAAAAAAGATCTGCCGAATCATTAATCACCCTGTAAGGAACAATATTTTAATTATAGTTGTTAAGTATGTATTTTGACTATACAGAATGAGCAAATAACTTCCAAATATATTTAAGGGTGGTTTATAGTGTCCATTTTAGAGAATTAGGGATTTCTAACTTCAACACCCTGTATCTCAAAATCTAGTCATAGGATCCGATTGGGATCATGGACACTTTTGATGGGGACATCAAGTAATTTAAAAAATAAAAAATTCAGACATTTTGACGGTACTCCCGTTTGCATAATAAAAGTGCGTGGTCCTTTGAAAAAATATTTAAAGTCGTTTCTGTTTTATGGTAAATTTTAAATTTTGATTTAAAATTTTTATCTCGGTAATTAAAATCTTTAGGATTTCATGTTCCTGTATAAACATTAATCAATTAACGAGAGCTCTCTGTGATAAGGCATTGTCGGTCGAATATACAAACACACTGTATATATTGATCAATGAAGGTAATTATTTTATTTTTTAAATTTATAGCTATTTATATTAGTTACTTACCTGTATTCCAAACATTATCAATAAAAAGGTCGTATGTGGTATACCTAAAATCGCCATGGTTGGGTGTTTTGCATTTATAATTTGTTTATATAAATATTTAACATAATTGTCCTCAACTTCTATTCCACACTCGTTTGTCAAAAAAGGGTAATCAAATGCGTAACCTAAAAAATATTTAAACCGCAAATGAAATTTTAATTAAAAAATAAATAACTATGTTTAGGATCTGCAACTAAATGCACATAGTTTTTATTTAAAACACAGGCGCAGCACACTTTTACATCCCTATAGCCTAGCAATGGGTAATCCTTCGATTAGCAGACTTATTTCTAGATCACTTAGAAACCAAAAAAAATTTGAATGATTTCCCTAACAACCAAATTTCACACTGGTACAGATATATTGATGACATTTTTGCAATTATGAATTGTAATTTTACTGAAATTGATGACTTCTTATTTTTAATTAACAATATTCATCTTAAAATCAAATTCACAGTTGAGATTGAGTCAATAAATCACTTAATTTCCTAGACCTTTCTATCAGTCGTCAGTATAATAAACTTGAATTTGATATCTACAGGAAACCTACTCAAACTGACCATCTAATTAATTTCCACTCTAATCACTCTTATCAACACAAGTTATCAGCCATATATTGTTATGTTTATCGTCTTTTTAATATACCTTTATCTAATCATAATTTTAATAAAGAAATTAACGTTTTAAAACAATTAGCTTTTAATAATAACTACAATCCTTCCATTATTAATGTGGTTATCAATAAAGTCAAACTTAAGAAAAGGTCCCAACTTGCTTTTAATCCTACTAACGAACATCCTGCTAATTTTAAGTACTTTTAACTACCATATTACAATATTGCAACAATATGAAAATTTCTTTTAATTCGACTAAAAGCCAACTATCACATACTAAGGATGAAATCAAGTTGCTACACAAAAGTGGTATCTATAGACTAAGCTGTAACGATTGTAATACGTCTTATATAGTAAAAACTGAGAGGAGACTCAACATACGAGCTGGTGAACACATTAGATATCCAGATAAGTCTACTTTTAGACATCATATTAAATTCATCAATCATAACTTCACTCCTTTTGAGAAATGTTAGTGTTCTTCATAATATTTTTAATTGCAACTTTAAACTAAATCTGCTTGAAGATCTTGAGATACACAGAGAGTTTAATAAACCAAATGTGACATGTTTTAACACTCAAATCCATCTCAATAGCAAAGTGCCTCCTCTCTTTAAGAGTATTGGCAACGGTTGATCTGAAGTTACCTAGTCAGCTTCGCCTTGAAATCTTCTTTGCAGCGGAACTGACCATGTCTTTTCCAGCGATTGCTGATTTCGTGGTCAGGACGGTTTTTCCTCCTCTTTTAGATGGAAAAGCTGGTCTGCCTGTGACTTCGGTTTCGCTGGAGCCGGCCTGCTCAATTCTGTTGTTTTTAGAGATCTACGTGGAACACATAATAATAGACCGCACGTTTCACAACCAGAGGTTATATTTCCAAAATACATCAATATATTGAATCGTTTCCCCGTAAAACTTCTCACTACAGTTCTTAAGAAGTTCATTTTCTTGATTCAGCTCTAAATGTTAAGATTATGTATAATCTCTCTGCAAAATTATACCTGGAATTAAATAATATCGTCAAATATGAATTTTATTTAAAATTCTTTAGAGAATTTTGCACTGAAATTTGGGAGACCCCAAGTTGATGTATGTAATCAATGCGAAGAATTAGGCACAGAACTTAAAGACCCAAATTAGAACGACAACGCGAAGAGAGTTGCAGCTGCCAAACTGATGGTCCATAAACGTAGGGCTAACAAATTTTACTCAAAACTTAAGGAAATCACTACTATCTGCCACGAGCGTGAAGATGTTGGTGTAATAGTTTTTGATTATATTCAAAATATGCACTGCCTGTCATACCCGTCCAAGAAATGTTTTATTACAGACAATTGTGGCTATATGGGTTCGAAATACACGATTTGAAAATGGATCAGGGACACTTTTATACATACCATGAAGGACAAGCCGCGAAGGGTCCCAATGAAGTGGGCACAATTATTAATGACTATGTGCAGAAAATGTCTGCAGAAATTCAAGAGCTTTACATATTCTCAAATGGTTGCCTGGGCCAGAACTGTAACAACACTGTAGTCAGATATTTATTAGCCCTTGCGTCTTCAAAGCGATTTCGTAAATTTATTATTACATCTCAGTACGTGGTCGCTCTTTTTTGCCATGTGACAGAGACTTCGGTTGTCTGTGACAAGTAATAAGAAAATACTATATAATCTATCTTCCAGAGGATTACGAAAATATGATACTGTCTTGCCGTAAATTAAATCCATTTGGGATATGAACAATATGCTATAAAGATATCACCAATTACAAAAACTGGTGGCCCAACAACTACAAGAAAACATGTCAATCTTCCGATAACATAAAATTCAAATTACATTGGCGGACTCGTCTCAACAACTTTCAAGTTAATCAAGCCTAAAGCAGACCCAACTTTACCCACTGCGCGCGCATACTTAAAGATATTACCATTGTATTTAGATCAACTAGTAAAACAATACCAATGCAAATTATCTTGGAGGACAATGAACAGTATCAATAGATGGCAGCAAGCTTCGTGGTGTCCAAGTCATGTCTTTGATAATTTTGTCGTCTTCGAAACGAACGTAATTTCTCTATTTACTAATAGATGGGCCCATAATCGATTCAGAATATTTGTTTTAAAAATGGAATATACGAGTTTAATTATGCTTGTTGAACATTTATTTACGATTTATTATCATTTTAGAGAATATAAACAATAGTAATTTAAATTTAGCACTCTACACATATGAATTTAAAAATTAAGAAAATTTTATGTATATAGAATTCTGTACTCAATGATCGAGGAAGCGCTAGCGTTCGGGCTACTTTGATGAATTTCTAACAGATGTCGCGACAGAATTGCCTCCAATGAAACGTCCATAAGGTTGTTCTACTATCTTCTCTAAATACAATGATATTACCAATCAATATAAAGAACATTGATAACCTCAAAAAAGTGATGTAATATATAACAGGAGAAATTTTGGAATTTTATTACCACACGTCATGGAAAACCAGTAACGTGGAAGATAAAGATTAACTTGAATTAATGTTTTTTTATGCTATTTGAGTTTAAATATGTTAAATACCGTATAAATAAAAATGAATTACTAACTTGCTGCGCTATTCATTAAATAACATTAAGAATTCAATGTATTTTTAAAGTTGGGTGGAAAAACAGTATAGCTCCAAGAGTCATTTTGTCGCGCATGTCATTAATAAAAGAAACAAAATGATATTTCACTTCACAGTCGTTCAGAGAACTTGATTATCTACAACTTTGCAATGTATAAAATTTTGTAGGATAAATAATTCTTTTTCAAAACAGGTTTTTGTCATTATCTCCAAATCACATTTTTGAAATTATATTGTTCTTCCACTCACCGATTCAATTGTTTTAGGCAGTAGCCTTAAATTAAAAAATTTCCCATTATTTAAAATTTAGTTTTAGCGACTGACAACTCTTAAATGTTTTTAATAAATAAACACTAAAATATTAATAAAGTTTTAGTTATTTATCGAATTTATTGCATTTCATAATTGTACCCTAACTGTTATTGGCACAAATATCTGTGTGTTTTTAAAGAACCCTTTTGGTCAATGACACGTTTACCGGTACCCTTTTTTGTTCAGGTATATTTGGTGGAACATTTACGTCACCTACCTGTACATAATAAGACATCAGTAATATCCTCTTCGGTTCCGTCTACAAACAAAACACTATTTTCCTTGAACTCTGCAATTACTGGTTTGATTTTAACATTTTCAGAAAATTTTGCATATTCTCTTAGAGGTGAGCGGTGACTTAATACGACCTGCATAATAAAACTATATGTTATTGATCTAAATAGAAAGTAAATATAAATTCTTTTAAAATTCTCAAACACATTTTCCAAATTAACCCTACGACATTATAAGAATTGTTTTAACCCTTCAAAGTGAAAACAAATTAATTAAAAAAATCTGTCCCCGGATGAGATTCGAACCCTCTATATCTACGTTTTACGCACACTGTCTTGGAAATTTTAAAAGAATTTATATTATTTAAAACTAATAGTTATAAAAAGGCAAATCAAAAAAATATAAGTTTTTATAGAATAATGGAATTAGATTTAAAGATTTTAGATTTAAAGCAACACTTTTTCGGTCAAATAAAGTACTTTTTAACATTTCCCTATCTTGAACACTGATTAAATAAATTTGACTTTCAAAGTAAAGGAGAGAAAACCAAAGAACAATAAATTGAGGTTGGAAAATTCCATTGTTGAAAAATTACGTATTATTACGCAACCATTCTGGCCATTTTCTTTGTTTAGCTTCATGATGCCGTTAGCGCTGATGCTGGCCAATCGAGAATGTTCTTTGTACGCAGGCCGACGCGTGGTGGAAGGATTTCCCGAACGCTTTGAGATTCTTTAATTCAGTATTTTATTTTTTTGTGTGTTTCATTTTGTTATACAAGTAGATTCTTTGTCCGTATAAATGACAGTGTGACTATTTTTAAATTTGAAATTTTTTTATTGAGTTTTTGGGATAAATAATAATTGTGTAAGATATGCCTTCAAAAAAGATAAAAAAAAACAGCCTACATTTTTATGGTCTGTAAATGGCCGGAGTATTTGGAAAATATGCAAAGAATGTGCCATCTAAAAATGTGGAAAAGTAGGCGTTGCAGTTTTCCACAAAAATGAATTGTTTAGAAAATGTTTTTTAAGTTATTTATGTTTATATTTTGATATCTCATTGATTAAATATTTTTTTGTTTTGTATTTTTTTGGGATTTTTTAACTTCCTGTTATTTTTAAAAAAAATTTACCATGTTCTTAGTAAATTATACAAATACATTTTAGTGATATCGTATTCAATAATAAAAACATCTTAAATCACACAATCATTGTTTGTGTATTACTAGTATATCGAAATTTTTAAATTTTATCAACTGTAAAAAGAAAAAAGGTGAATAGGGGACGTCATGTCTGTGGTTATGGCTTAATTAACTTTATTTATGATTTATAGTAGCAAACAATACATCAATTATTAAAAAAATTTAAAATCTTTTACTTACTTTCTCAGCAACTTTGCTAACCAGTCCTGTTATATCTGATCCGGATGGTCCTTTTCCAACTATTAGGACTTTTCTGTTTTTATATGGATCAGGTTTTCTATAAGTATAACTATGCTTAACAGTTCCTTTAAATTTATCTAATCCTTTAAAAGTTGGAATGAGAGGTTTATTAAAATTTCCCACACAAATAATAACAGCGTCGTATTCTTTAATTACCAGTTCTTGTCCCATCGATTTTAAATCACGAATACTAATTTTCCAGCGATTGTTTGGAAGTGGTCGAATTTCCTCTACATGTTTATAGAACTAAAATTTAATTGGCAAAATAATAAAGTAATATTTAATCTAAATAAACAATCTGATAAACTAATAGAAAATTGACCGGTAAATATACAGGGTGTCTCAAAAAACTGCTATCATTTTATTTACGTTTTAGGACATCAAAACAAAAAACTTTTGTCAAATACAAATTTTCAAAATTCACTATTTTTGTTTTGATATTTTTAAACCCTAAAATAACCCTAACGAACTATCTGTGAGAAAATAAATAATTTAAATAAAATCTAGCAATGTTTTTAATACATGATACACAACGTTATACATGTTTTGCTACAGATTAAATAAATAACACGCCGGACAATTATGTTTACTTTCCTATCTGTATACAGATAAAGAAAGTAGGTATAGTAATCACGATTTTCTTCGACCTCGAGTTTTTGACGGATTTTTACATTTTGGGGTCCCCTGAATCTGTTTTGACTATTTTCGCGATGATGTGTGTGTGTGTGTGTGTGTGTGTGTGTGTGTCTGTGTGTGTGTCTGTGTGTGTGTGTGTGTGTGTGTGTGTGTGTGTGTGTGTGTGTGTGTGTGTGTGTGTGTGTGTGTGTGTGTGTGTGTGTGTGTGTGTGTGTGTGTGTGTGTGTGTGTGTGTGTGTGTGTGTGTGTGTGTGTGTGTGTGTGTGTGTGTGTGTGTGTGTGTGTGTGTGTGTGTGTGTGTGTGTGTGTGTGTGTGTGTGTGTGTGTGTGTGTGTGTGTGTGTGTGTGTGTGTGTGTGTGTGTGTGTGTGTGTGTGTGTGTGTGTGTGTGTGTGTGTGTGTGTGTGTGTGTGTGTGTGTGTGTGTGTGTGTGTGTGTGTGTGTGTGTGTGTGTGTGTGTGTGTGTGTGTGTGTGTGTGTGTGTGTGTGTGTGTGTGTGTGTGTGTGTGTGTGTGTGTGTGTGTGTGTGTGTGTGTGTGTGTGTGTGTGTGTGTGTGTGTGTGTGTGTGTGTGTGTGTGTGTGTGTGTGTGTGTGTGTGTGTGTGTGTGTGTGTGTGTGTGTGTGTGTGTGTGTGTGTGTGTGTGTGTGTGTGTGTGTGTGTGTGTGTGTGTGTGTGTGTGTGTGCGTGTGTGTGTCTGTGTGTGTGTGGTGTGTGTGTGTGTGTGTGTGTGTGTGTGTGTGTGTGTGTTTGATTAATTATCAAAGGGCCAGTGAAACTAAAACTTAAAATTGTTTCTAAACTAGGATGATGGTAAGAATCTAAAGGTAACAAAGGCATTTGAGATTCTATTACAGAAATGTCATTAAAATCGTCTGCAAAAATTAAGTCCAGGAATCTTCTACGGCTGTTACGGATGGAATTCAATTGCTGAAACTCGAAAAAAAACATCGATTCAACTAAAACTGCAGCCGACTGCGTCGGAACTCGATTGGGGACAAGTACATTATCATCTAAATACCACTGAATGTCTGGAAGATTAAAGTCTCCATATAAAATAAACTTAGCATTTTCGTAAGTATTTTTTTAAATTTTCACAGGTGTCGCAGAAGGATTGATAAACTTCAGAATTCGAATTTGGGGGAAAGTAGACATTACTCAAAATAAATTTAAAATTTTCATTTTTGATGTGAACCCAAATGTCATCGTAAGACGCTATCTTAGGTGTGGATAATAAAGAAGCTTGTATAGTTGATAGTACTGCAACAAGTACTCCGCTGCCACGTTCACATTCAAGTTGATTGTATCGCGTCGAAAAACTGTATATTGATTGGAAAAGAACTCAGAATTAACAAAAGTATCATTTATCCAAGTTTCAGTTAAAGTTACAACTTCATAGTTACAGGAATTTAAACTCAAGAAAAGTTGGTTAGTTTTTGTCCGAAGCCCTCTGACATTCTGATAGTAAATGTAAATTAATGTATTTTTCACTTTATTGTGATTATTTACAGAATCGATGCAAGGGGAAAATTTATCTTCTCAGATTAAATTGACACACCCGACAGAGAACAAGGTTCAGAATTGGAGATAGAAGTCCCATTTATTGAAACTGATGAGGAATTGCATATATGTGAAAGCAAGTCTCCGCATATTGATTGCACTAAACAAGTTTTTTCGTCGTAGAACAAAATTCCATTTGAAGTAAAGAAGTTAACGGGTACAAAATTTTCAGAGTTTTCAGGCTTCAGTTTGAGTTTCGAACAAAATGAAGAATTTTGTTCTTGAATTAGTCTATTCAATACAGGTCTATTTCTAAATAGAGGAGAACCAAACGCAATAAGATTAGTATCCTTGCAGATATTTAAAAGCTCGATAATATGGCTGTCTTTGACTCATTTACTGGATACAGCGAAACGTAAAAGCATGTCAGCTCAACATTCAAGATTGGAGTCAAGGTATTTTACTCTACTTCTAAATACTTTGGGATATACTAATGATTCGGTGATAACCGAATTAGTTGCTGCAATTAAAAAAGGCCCTTGCAGAAATCAGGTAAAGGAGCACAGAGGAAGAAGTCATGGATCAGAAGTTAACCGAGATATAATTAGAAATAACATTGAATCGTTTAATCCTTGCGTGAGATATTATGGAAGAAGAAATGCGCCCAATGTAAGATATTTAGCTAGGGAACTCAAAAATAGAAGTATGTATGATGATTTTGTTTTAAAACATCCAAATATATGTAAAATTGAAGTTTATTAGAAAGTTCTAAAAGAGATGAATATTTCTCTTTGGCAACCTAAATCAGATATTTGTGAAGAGTGTTCATCTTTAAAAAATATTCTGGAAAACGCAGGTGTTGACATGATTCAAAATCAATTTGATTCTCATCGTACTAAAACTGCGAAGGCAAACGTGGAATATAAAAAAGTCTCGGACGAAGCAGCAGCTGCAAGTGTAATAAATAAACAAATTTACTCTATGGATCTACAAAAAGCGAGACCGCCTTTTTTACAAGTAGATTTGTAGTTATTAATCAAACGTTTGCCACTTTAAGTAAAGAATCCTCTAATAAAATTTATTGTGTGCTATGGCACGAAGCCTTAGGTGGACGTAAAGCGGAGGCTCAAAGCAATTAAGAAGGAAAGGGATACTACCGATTTTGTATTTTGGGCAGATAATTGCACCGCCCAAAACAAAAAGTGTGTAAATTGTGAAAGTGGTCCAAATTAAATTGTCATTGGCTATCTCACCAAGGGCCACACTACAATGAGTGCGGAAGACTTTCATGGTAATATCGAGCAGAAACTCTGGACAAAAAGAAACATATATGACTTTCAGGAGCTTCTAGAGGCTGTCGAATTATCCAGAAAAAATCTAGAAGTTCTATAATTAACAAAGTTTCACTTGTGGGCCAAACAAATAACGAAATACAAAAAAGCCAAAGGATCCATTAAAGTCTTTTTTGTTGAAATAACTAGTGGAAGTCTGTTTTACAAAAGGGAGTCAGTGCATGAAATACAAAAAATATTTTGCAGATGAATATAAAGAGTTGGATTTTATTCAGAAAAAGCATAATCCTATCAATTTTTAACCACAAACTTTGCCCACTCGTAACATTATATCCTCAAAAAAAAAAAAAAATTGTGAAAGATTTGGTACCGCTAATGCATATCAAGAGAAAAGTGTTTTGGTTAATTATTTCAGAATTCGAAACATCCGCGGACTTAGTGCTGAGCAAGTAGTATCAGAAATAGATCCTGATACCTGAATTCAAGATTATATTTTATTTTAACCATTACCAAATTTGTAAATAATTATGGCTTGTTCATGTTCAAATTCTTTTTCCGTTTTCGCAGAAAACTGCAAACTGGAAACGGAAAAAGAATTTGAACATGATGAACAAGCCATTAATTATATTTTTGTTCCTTTTTGATGTATTCAGTTACCTCATTTTCAGTTCCTATTTTTTGTAACCTTAAAAAGTATTATATTTTATTTTGAGTTTCGTTTGTTACAAATAAAAAACTTCTTTTATGATTTTTTTATTGCAAAACAAAGCAAAGGCAATTACTGTGTTTTGATGCATTATAAGTTAATTTATTTAGAAAAAATCTATCGCAACGACAATTACTGTGTTTTGATATACTATACTTAATTTTTCTTTAAAGGAAATCCCATGCAAAACCATTATTTTACCAGCCGCACTATTTGTATAACAACTTATCATCTTCAAATAACGTTAAAAATAATGCTTGAGGTTATAGCTAACCAACTTTAAAATTTGGAAGCAACATCTTTATTTATTGAGTGGGGCTCGAAAATTATCATAAAAGTTGATATTTCTACGTTTTTATAAAAATGTAGTTACTGTGTTTTGTAACGGGACAGCCAATTTTATAAAATATATCTATTAGTTACGTTTAGAAAAGAAAATTCCTTAAATAAAAATTACTTAACTATATAATATTATTGTCTATAATTTTTGTTTTTACAAAATTTTTCTAAAATGATCCGTTTTCGAGATTTTTGACAAAATGTAAAAAAATAAGATTTTATAAAAATTGTTTAAATAAAAGTTGTTTGTAATATAATTCTATATAATTTGTGTCCTATGGGTACAAAATTTCTCTAAAATAGACCTATTCAAGATATTTGAGAAAATGTGTAAATCACGAATTTTGAAGAAAACTCAAAAACGGATAAAGAAAAAAAACATTAAATTTTAAACTTAAGTTTTATTTTGCTAAATTTAAATTTTTCAATATTTTCGTTTTCAATGAATATCTATAGAAAAATGTTTCGAGTTAGGTGTATGTGGAACATGTATATATTTAGTTTATCCTCTAAACATTTATAGAGGTGCTGCAATGGGTTGTACAAAATAACCGGAAAAAGCTTATAATAACTAGAAAGGAAAGTCATGTGTTGGACACATCAGATTTTTCGTACCGCAGTATCAACGACAATAATATATACTGAATTTGTGAAATATTTCTTAACTTCTATTTGTTACTGTACCTGTATATGAGAACGTAAATTAAAAGCATCTGCATAATCATTAATATATTTTAACACATCTGGTTGACGAACAAAAGATACCGGACATTTAAATGGAAAATTTTCAAACTGCATTAAGTCCGTTGGTAAGTTGGTCCTAAAAAAAGATGGAATTTTATTATTTAAAAAAAGGGTGTGTGCTTTTTGTAGAAATACGTTAAAAGTAAGAACCTATTTGGCATTGACAATTCTACGTAATACATATACAGATAAGGACAAAAAATATACGAGTCACAGGATATATTATTATTATTATAATTTGATAAGAGCAGGGCCATAAGACCCATAAGCCCATATTAACTGAATATGAAACAATATTACTAAAAACTAAATCAATAACAAGTACAACCGATGAATAAACAATGAAACAAGTGAAATGTTAATTAAAAAATAAAAAATTATCAAGTTCATTCTTGAAAACATTGACAGATGAAGCATTTACAACATTCTCCGGTAGAGGATTCCAAGTAGAATATTCGATTAAATAAAAAAATTTGCCTCGTTTTCGTAAAAAATTGTTCTTTTTTCAGCTTCCATTCATGGATACGTAGTCGATTTTCACTGTCCACGATGAACATACATTTTAAATTTCCAAAATTATATTTTAAAATACGAAAACAAATTATCATATCACCCCGCAGACGGCGATTTTCAAACGTTTGTAGTTTAGCCATATGTAGTTTCTTTGCGTAATTAGGTCTCATACGTCCGAAAAATGATCTGGTTGATCGGCGCTGCACATTTTCAAGAATAATTTTATCCCGCACTAGTTCCGAACACCACACAGCTCCGCAGTACTCGATGATCGGACGAATGTATCATTTATACTGCCAGATCGAATTTTGAAAAGATACTTTTGCTAATGGTTTCTTTAATTAGTACATTTTCGTGTTCGCCTTTTTTGACACTTGAAGAACGTGTTCAGTCCAGCTGAGATTTTCAGTAATTATAACACCTAGATCATTGTAAGATTTAACTTTATTTAACGTATGACCGTTTAGAAAATAATTATGACGAGGATTATTTTTACCAATATGGAGAACTACACTTTTATTTGTATTTAGAGGTAGCATCCTATCTGAGCACCAGTTATAAATGGAGCCAAGGTCATCTTGAAGCTGTTTGAAGTTCAAAGACGGGTCACTAAATATTTTAGTGTCATCTGCGTAAAAAATATTGTTGCACTTGATATGGAATTGAAGGTCACTGGCATATATTATAAATAAGAGTGGACCCAGAACTGATCCCTGAGGAACTTTAACACAGTACTTTCTATCAGTTAAGAATGACTCGATCCATTTAAATAAATCACCACGTATACCAAGGTGTTCTAACTTATGTAGTAATCTTCGTTTCGGCAAACGATTCAAAGCTTTCACAAAATCCAGGTAAATAATGTCTATAGGTTTTTTCCTGTCCACTCATTTACACACTAAAGCAAATTGGTCATGGCTGATCGCCCTTTTACAAATCCATGTTGCTGTTTGGGAATGATTTCTTCCACTAAGAGAAACTGAGAAACGTGCTCTGTTATTATGGATTCCATAACTTTACAAATTATGGGTGTGAGGCTGATTGGGCGGTAGTTATTAGAGTCTAGTTTGTTTCCTTTCTTAAAAATGGGTGTTACAGAAGCTGTTTCCCAGATAGAGGGTAATGTGTGTATATTAAAAGACAAAGACATTATAATAGATAAAGGAACTGATATGGTATTAGAGCATTTTTTTAAAAATAGAAAAGATATTTGATTGAGACCCGGAGAGGAGTTGTTTTTTTTATTTTAAAAGGTGACGTTTGACAATTTCAGGAGTAAAATTGAGCCATTCTGAGAAAAAAGGGATTCTTTCGGGTGAGATCTGGTAACTGATCCTGGGGAGGTTCATTGGTGAAAACTTTTGTAAAGGTATTAGCTAAAAGTTTAGCCGTTTCAAAATTATTTTGACAGGGACTTCCATCTTATTTGTTTAGTAAAGGAATGGATACTTTTGATGACAGTGAAGATCTAATATATTTGTATAATTTTTTACTGTTTTGGCTGCATGCTATCGACTCTTCATATTCTTATCGGGCTTCATTTATAAATTTCTTTAGGTCCTTGGAAAAATTTTTGTGATATTCTAGATCGACAATATTATTTTATTGCTTATATTTACGCCATAATTTATTTTTATGTCTAATCAAGGATATTAGTTCTCCGTTGATCCACGGTTTTAATTTATTTTTGTAAAACACCTTCTTTTTAGAGTATTGGATTTTATGAGTAGCAATAACGGTTGCGAACTTATTCCATACTTCTGCTGGATTTCCCGAGTCACCAAATGTTTGTATCCAGTCGATGGTAGATAAATGACGATTTAAGTTATCGAAATCGATGATTTCATATGATGTAGTATGATCTTTGTGAGATGGGTTCTTTATGTTAAACTGTGTACGACTTATGATGACTGCATGATCCGATATTCCTATCGGAGATTAAATGATAGGGTCAGTTAATAATTGTTTATCATTTACAAATAACAAATCTAGCGTGGAAGGAATATTGTTGACTCGGAATCGTGTTCGATCTGTTATAAGTTGTAAATTAGAGCTTAGAACAAAGTTCAAAAATTTATTTTTTGAATTTACAAAATCACTTGGAGTGAGAGTAACTGGCCACGAAATATCTCGAAAATTGAAATCACCAATAATAACAACATTTTACAGTGAAGACAGATATTCAATTTTTTCAATAAGGATTGTGTCTTCAGCTAGTTGAGAGTCTATGGGACAATAAATACAGACTAAATGAAGAGTAATAAAGCTGGAATAAATTTTTGAACCTAATAGTTCCACATAAGGGACACTAATGTTAAGAGGTGTAACAAAAAAATGTGTAATATCTGATGATAAATAAATACAGACACCTTTACCGCGACGGTCTCTTCGATCGCATATGTATAGAGAATAATTTAAAATATCATACATAGAATCAGAATCATTTAAAGTTAACCATGTTTCTGAGATAAGAAAATTCTTCGGTTTTAAATTTTGTACAAAGCATAATAATTTATTAAATTTAGACTTGAGGGTTGCCAAGTTCGTATATAAAAATAGCCAGTCGTAAAAACAAAATTTATCGATATTATTGACGAAATTTCACGATCTTTGGGACACCATGTATATATTTTATAGTTAAGTCCTGCTCTCCATTATTCTTCTTTAACTTAAGTTCGGTCCTTAATTATTTTAGGCATTCAATTTGATTGGGCGTTTTAGCATCGATAATAGTTATTTTTTAGTGGAGGCTTCTTCTAGAAGTTTCTTTTTGTTTCACAAAATATGCATTGCGTCATATTCGTTATGCATTATCAGTTTAATCATTTTAGGAAATTTGGTATTGTCCTTGCCAACGCGGAAGAATGTAACCGGATTCTGATCACATTCTACAGTGTGCAAAATGTCTTGGTTAATAGAATTATCATGATCTTTTTTTGTTTGGGCATCTCCTACCATCTTTGGTACACCTCTTTTAAAAACATTTCTCGCACGATTTATGCGATCAACTGCTTCATTTGCAATTTTATTAGTAAATTGCGGGGATAAAAAATAATCAACCGTAAATAGTTTACTTTCAGTTGCTTCTAGTTTCCCATTTATAATGGTAGTTTTATCATATATCTTGTCAATATTTGATTGAAGACTAGCAAAAGATTCAAAATTAGATGTACAAGTATTGCACATAATTTTTATACCACGCATCTTGTGCCTAGTAGCGCGATCTTCTGCTCGCAAATCAGTACACCCTAAGTATATGTTTTGCTTACAGGCATCGCACTGAATTTCTGATTCTCGCTTGGCGATTGTCTTCGAACAGTTTGCACAGCTGTACATAGTGGGAGCAGAAGAAATTGATTTTTAACTGACCTTGATATATGCAGGTAAACACAAATTCAGATTTATGATGCACTTTTTAAAATTATAAGAAGCACTACTTGTACTGGTAACCAAATGTAAACACTTTGTAATATTAGAGAATTTTCTGTAACTTTTAAACTATTAAAAACTTGATTACAATTCTTCACAAAAATTGCGCCTGCCTAGGATTCAACTGATATCGTAATATGCACCGCGAGTGAACGTATATCTCTATACTTTGTGTACAACGCCTACAACCTCTTTTTCAAGCTAGAACAAACTATTAATTTTGTGGTGCATGAACTGTTGTTAATTATTGTCCTCTTTTATTAAATAAAGACAATATTTACGTAAATATAATACTTTTTTATTTTTGATCGTTAAGTTTACCAACAATGAAAAGGGACCAATAATATATTCCCTTAAAATACTAGTGCACAGCACACATTTACTTTTTGAGGATACTGTGTGCATGTCGAAATACTTAGATGGTTATTTTTCCGAGATGGATTAAATTTTAACTCGCAGGTAATTTGAATATATTTTAATTCTGCCAATTTGTCATAATTTCTAAAATTATTCTACAAAAATTAAAAAACTTATTAAATTAACAGTATATTTACCCAGACAGCACACCAAATCCTTTGGATATCTACTGAACATCCCAATATCCACTGAACGTTCAGTCCATGGTAGATATCTATTTTATATCCATGAAATGTAATTTATAGACATGCAAATGTCCATAAATAATAGTAATTATATAGCAAATTATTAAAAAATTACGCCATTGTGCTCGCTATTGTGGCTAATAGTACCGTTAAGATATTTAAAATTAATTTTTTTAAGGTGTATTCAATATCCCATGAACATCCACTAAATATATCAAAGTCTAGGCGCGAACGCAAGCCATCGTCGATATCCACTAGATGTTATTTGATTCTGCTTACTAAGTATAGATGGCGATACCACTATCGCATCTACTCATGCTCGACCCGCCGTAATTGAGTTCAATCGAAATGTGTGTCCTATTCACTCCATTAGAGACTGGAGTCGAGAATTTTCATTCATTGCTGAAGAGTCCTAATAAGGACGACTTTCTCCTTAGTGGGCAAAATCAAAGGCAGAGTGTTGAAAACATTTTGAGTGTTGAAAACATTTTGAGTGTTGAAAATATTTTTTATCTCTGCTATTTTCTTTCGACGTTATTCAATAATCATTGGTTACTTATGAACCTCTACTAAAGATACCCATTAATATTTTGCTGAATATCCGAATATCTTCTATATCCTGGGATATAGACGGACATTTGGTTGGATATCCATATTGGATATATTGAATATCCACAAAATGCATTCTGTGTATATCTCTGTGATGTCTTGTATTTTCTGGAAGATACCCATTAGATATTTTGCTGAATATCCATTAGGATATCTTCTATATCCTGGATAAAGACGGACATTTGGATATCCATATTAGATCCACGGAATATTTCTGATATCCTGTCAATATATTGGATATCCACAAAAAATATTCTGCGGTTATCTCTGGGATTTGGTGTGTTATCTGGGTATTGTGACAAGTATATTTTTATAGCACATGTTTACCAATTCGATTACGATGCTCTTCGACGTGTTACGACTATTGGCCTGAAATTATTAGAAACATGGGCTTACCTACAATGTGTGGCTCGATTACATTTTATCAACCTGTATACAATAAAAATATTACCTAATAAAAATATTACACTAAAAGTGTATTTAGGTTATATTTAAATTCTGTAAAATATATGAATTCACAAATTTTATTTTCGAAATTTGGTAGTAATAACTAAAAATACTATGTTAATATCGACACAATGCACGACGAATTTTCCTGGACTGTAACTATATCGCTACTATGCAATGCGTTATAATCATGGAGATAAAATAAAGAGGAGATGCTGTGACGTCAAAATGTTCGCACCTTTGGATTATTATACTTTTACGTCAATTGAAGTGCGTCTATCTGTCATATCGCAAATAAGTTTTTATGTCATCTCTACTTTATTCTGTCTCGATGGTTATGATATAATCCGGATAAACTCGATTTGAGAAGTCGAGTTCTGCCGAGTGAATAATGTATCGCTAAGTTATCCGTCTTTTTGTCTCCTCGGCCAAGTTTGTCCGAATAATCATTCAAAACCAGTAAAAAGATATGCAAGGCGCGCCCAAAATAATTTTCATTTAAAAAATTTCTCAATATACATGTACATTTACCATAAATCTGTATATACGGAGTTATGAATCGGAATGCCAAATTCATCTAGACCAGTTTTTTCATTGTAGTTCCATACACCACCAATGAGACCACTTTTTTCAAACACATCACAACTGAAATTTTCATCCAAACAACTTTTAAGTGCACATAAACCTGCTGGACCTGCACCTATTACTGCTATTTTCATGTTTAGAATAATAATTTTCGCACTACTATTACTATTTTTTTTTGTAAATTAACAATTGTATAACTTATATATGTGTTTATATTATTGATTTTAATTAAAGACAAAGAATGATAAGATAAGTTAAGTTATTCTTTAAGCGCTGAACAAATTTGATTTTTCCGATTACATTATTACAACGTATGTAATAATTTATTTACTATTAATTAATTTAACTTATTTATCAAAGTCATTTATAACAACATTAATTCTCGAAACGTGTGAAAAAAACTATAAAGTCTAATCTTAGTGACAGTGCAATAAATATGCAAAGTCACTGAGCTACTATAAGTAGATATAACGTCAGAGAGAGAAAGAAGTTGTCACATATATGAACTTTAAATGTTTGCTTTAGGACTGTGATTAGGACTGACAAGATTAAACCGAAAATTCCACACCTGTAATTTTGAACCAATCAAAATACGTGTTTTTGACAGATCACCATGGCAACGGAGGTATTTTAGTGGAAATTTTTTTCTCGTGGGGTACCCAACAGCGAATTATACTGGAAATTTTTTGACGTTTACAATAACAGACCATTTTTGACAGACTGGTTTTTATTTGTTCACATAATAGGTTTAGTTTTGATAAATTTTAGTTACAATGCTAAGGTGTTTTCTATATTCTTCGGCCACTTCTTTTCTTCTTAATGGCGAAAATGCAGGACTTTGGATGCTTTGAATTATGTGTCTATGTCTAATAAAATATATATAATATTTAGACACTAATTTATTTACCTTTTTCCCATTCAGCACTTTGAATTTTGCGTAGTTTAGGTGCAAATATTCGTGGACAATTCGGAACAAATTTTCGTTTTTCAAGTTGGAGCCACAATCCTCTATTAATCCGAGTAAGTAAGTCATGGTGCAATGATTGATCATTACATCAGACAATTTCACGCATATTTTGCATAGCGTATGATTTTCAAATCGATTCATTTTTAAACAAATAGGTAATTTTGTTGGTTTTACTTGCTGTGCAATATACTTTATCGCAACAAAACGCGAGTTATTTAATGTTTTGAACTGTCAAAATACAATGATCACAGCCTCCTACGATTGATGCTTGCTGACGCTGGTTACGAATTTTATACCATTTTAAAGCGCTCATAACGCATGTTAATAAAAACGCAGAAAAACAATTTTCTACCACTTGTAGTTATTCAAAACTTACGTAAAATTAAAGAATATACTATTTTCTATTTTCAAATGGTATTCCCATGCAACTACAATGAGTAGAAATAAGCAATTTGAAGGCCTAAATAATTGCAGCGAAACATTTTTTTATGTCGGGCCGCTTGACAACTTCAAAACTGAAATTATATTCGAGGTTAGGGTCTCACTTAGTTACCATGACAACTCAACAATCAAGGCGACAACACCTTTTATGTTTCACTGATGACTTGGAGAAAATAATTTGCATTGTTGAGAAACGAAAAATAAATTTTAAAAATATTTAATTTTCAACCATAATTCGGCGTGGAATTTTCTTACCGAATACCACGCGAGGTCAAATTAATATTAGGAAATTTTTTTACCTCTAGTGGTATTACTAGTGAAAATGGTATTGCCAAAGTCATTAAAATAAAAAAATAAACATAATTATATACTGGGATGGCTTTATTTACTAGTAAAATTTGCATAAAAAAAATGCAGCGTCAAAATTAATTTATTCGAAAAAATTACAAAGGGGATTTCAAAAAGAGTTAGTTTAGGTGTTCAAATTGATGCATATCTTGATCAATGCATTGACGGCAACGTTTCGCAACGGAGATACAGTTCAGGCGAAGCATGTTAAGGTGTCCGCGAAGATTTTCAAATTCTTCAATTGCAGTTGGGAGCTCGAGAAGGGCGCGCGGTTCTCTTGCAAGAAAGCTGTCCTTAAGAAGACCCCACATGAAGAAATCGCAGTGTGTCAGGTCACAGGACCGTGCGGGCCACTCAAAGATTCCTCGTCTGCCTATCCATTCTCCAAAATGATCATTAAGGAACTCCCGCACACAACGCGTAGTGCGGCGAAGCTTCATCTTGCATGAAATGACGGATGTTCGCGAATATTGGATCGTTGTCCATTTGCCCACGTAAATCTTCGAGCATGCATTTCCAGATAACTTTGGCCAGACTTATGCCGATTTCGTAACGTGTTTACATACAAGATCTTTTCTAATTTTGACTTAATTATTTGTAAAATTGTGTTAAAAAATGATTCACCATCATTCTTTTGTAGGTACTTCCAATCAAATATTTCAGAAAATTGTAGTATTTGATTGCACTACGACGTTTTTTTTTCCAATAGTAATAATTAAAATAAAGGACATGTGCAGTTTTGCCGATTTTTGACATTACCCGCGGGGAATTTAAAAAAAAAAAACGTTTTTACTCATTATCCAGGAGTACGTCAAAATTTTACCCCCAACATTTCTGGGCAGTTTCCAATAACGGTGTTCAATTATTTAAAAAATAAAACGCTGTTATATATTTCTTTCGTATATTTAAAGAAAATTCACGATTCTGGGTTCGAGTAGTACAATAATAAACAATGATTACTTTTCTTTTCTATATTTAACACAAATGAGTTAAAGTGGATTATATGTCAAAGATTTGGGGGTGAGGTAAGTCTTTTGTTGCTATATCATATAATTATTTTTACTAATGTGATTCTTTTTTTTTTTTTTAGGTTAAAACAAACAAAATAGCCCTTTAGATACAGAGCTTTTAGCGGCACTTCTAGAAGATTTGCTTTACAAAGTGAGTGTAAATTACCGGAAAAATTAATGAAATTAAGTGTAAAAGGCAATTGATTATTTTAAATAAATTATATCTTTGAGTTTTAATTTTCAAACTTATGTCTAAGGCTTATCTGTAACTTCCAGGGATCCTCCGTATTTTTCCATTCAATATGTACACAATTTCCATCACCATTTGACAGTACAGAGTGGATTCAAGGATGGTTCTGCAGCTAAACATCCATACTACAGCAAGAGACAATTTACTTCCAATTATTATACTATGACTCTTGACATGAGTAGGTTTACTATGTAGCCAGAGGTAGGTATACCTTGACACGGTTATACTATACCTATTTAAGTTGTAAATGAGCTAGTTAAAAAAACTAACAATAAAAGGCCTAAAATAATGATTTATTTTATGTAAAATGATGTAAGAATTATTATTTTAACTAATTTTATATCCAAACTATATTTTAAACCTACCTGAGGTGGTATGGGGCCAAATGTGGCTTCCAAAGAAGCGGTAATTAAATCGAAAAAGTTATATGGATTTTTCTATCCTCAAAAGTAGAGTCTTGTTTATGTTTCCTAAACAAAATAATCTTCCAAATAAACTTTTTCTTTGTGAAAAATCCGCAAAAATGCGAGAGCAAGCTTCCTCTGAAAACGTGCTTTTCAAAAGAAAGCTTGAAAAAAAACCTGTCAGTTTTTTTTTCTTAATACCGAGTTTATCAGCTAATTCTAGTGTAATTTGATATATAAGGTTGGCCATATGATAATTTAAAATAATTAGATATCTAATTAATAAGTTCTGTGGTTCTTGATGAGAACCAGGAAGAAAAAGAAGACTAAAATTTGACCATTAACTACTCATATTTACAACTCGGTTTTAAAAATATGTCAATTTATGATTTATAATAAATTATTTTTAAGAAGAGAAGTAATTTTGTTTTTATTCCTATATGCCAAATATAAAATCTTTTAACCCATAACAACACCACCCATTCGTGCCAAAAAGTTTCTAAGAACTTTTTAGTCCTAGACTAGAATACAGAAAAGAAAAAAAAATATATATATATATATACATGTATGTACATTTATCTCCATTACCATCAGCATAAGTACTTATCTATGAAGTATATCTTTAAGGCTAGAAGTCGTTGGAAAGGGTCAAATTACATTAACAGTATCTTCATCGGGGGGATGAACCTTTATGTCTTTTGCGTTCCAAGTGCCAGCAGGTCTATTATTTTCATCTACCAATTGATACGACCAAGGGGAAACTATTTTGGATATTTTATAAGGACCGACAAATTTCTGAGCCAACTTAGCACTAAAGTGTTTAGCTTTATCCGACTGAATATGATTGCGTCTCCAAACCTTTTGCCCTTCCGTAAATTTGTCACTTCTGCGCCTCAAGTTATACGGGATTCTTGCCTTGTTATAGGCTGACTGTAGACGTTTTTTAACATCTTGAAAAAGTTTAACAAGCGCTGCACTTTGTTCAGTTAGATCAAACTGATTCAATGGTAGACCGTCAACCTCTAAGTTGTTGAGAATTATTTCTCTCCCGAAATTAATTAGATTAGGTGTTACACCTGTAACTTCGTGTTTAGCGGATCTAATTGCACACAAAATTTTTGGTAGGAGTGTATCCCAATTTCGCTGGTCTTCGGAAACATAGGCACTCAACATAGTTTTTATCACTCGGTGACTTCTCTCCACTGGATTAGCTTGTGGATGATAGAGAGCAGTGAACTTAATCTGAACTTTATATTTGTCCATAGTTTGTCGGAAGAAATGACTTACAAACTGAACTCCATTATCCACAATAATAGTCCTTGGTGCTCCATACATTAGTATGACCTGATCTTCTAAGATCTTGACAACGTTTGCCGCCGTGGCTGAGCGTATAGGAAAAGCTAACAAAAATTTACTAAAACAATCCATTACCGTTAGAATGAAATTAAACCCAGTCGTGGTTCTAGGTAACGGGCCTACCAGATCTGCGCTGACTAATTGCCATGGCCTGGAAGCTGTGACTTGCGAGGAAAGCATCTGTCCAACTGGGGGTTTCTGTTCAGGTTTGATTTTCTGACAAGTGATACATCTTCGAATGTACCTACCAACATCAGTTTTTAGTTTGGGCCAGTAGTACTTTTGGACAATTCTAGCCACAGTCTTAGCCACACCCAAGTGACCAGCAGTAGGAGGATCGTGGTAATTGCGTATGATC